GACGTCCTGCTGGAAGACGCACAGCTGCAGCCGCTGGTGGAGCCGGACCTTGCGGTGCTGCCAGATGTTCTCCAGCTGCCGCTGGTGGTGCAGCACCTCGTGGATGACGTCCAGCACGTGGTGCACGGCCTTGGAGTAGTTCGCCGAGGCCGTGAGGGAGTCGGAGCTGCCGGGGGTCAGCGGCCGCTGGAGCTTGTCGAGCAGCGACTTCCCGTCCTGGCTCACCTGCCGGCAAGAGGCGCTGTGACCCGGGGGGCGCGCAGGCGCCACGCGGACGCGCGTGGGCAGTGCCAGAGCTGGGTGCTCACGCCACGCGCAGACACGATGCACACGTGTGTGTGCAGACACGGGTGGACATGCGTGCACACATGTGCACGCAAACACGGGGAACACACGGACACAGAGACACAGGTGGACACACGGGCACACGTGTGCACATGGACATGGCTGGTCACACGACACACGTGTGCACCTCACATGGGTGTACACGGGCACACGTGTGCATGTGGGCCTGGGTGGACGTGCGGGCACACGGGTGCACGCAAACACGGGGAACACACGGACACAGAGACACCGGTGGACACGCGGGCACACGTGTGCACATGGACACGGCTGGTCACCCCGGCACACATGTGCACCTGACATGGGTGTACACGGGCACACAGGTGCATGTGGGCCTGGGTGGACGTGCGGGCACCCGTGTGCCCGCAAACACGGGGAACACACGGACACAGAGACACAGGTGGACACGCGGGCACACGTGTGCAGATGGACACGGCTGGTCACGCGGCACACGTGTGCACTTGACATGGGTGTACACATGGGCACACGGGTGCATGCAGACACGGGTGGACACGCGGGCCACGGTTTTATGCGAAGGTGCGTTTTATGACAAATAAAAGAAACGTGAGCAGACCGCCCGCCAGCCACGCACATCACAAAAGCAAACACGGACGCCGGTGCGAGGAAGGCGCACTCTCCCACAGCTGAGCGCCATGTCGATCACAGTGCCATCATTTCAGAGCGATCAGAGTGGCATGCAATGAAAGCATCAAAGCAACCGAAGAATGAAAGTTGAGGGTGGAATGAGGAGAGAAAAGCACTCGGTTATGTTCCTCGGCAGGAAGCGACTCAGGACATCAAGGATCGCGGCGCTGCTGCACGGAGGAAGCGATCCCCGGCGCGGCCCACCCGGGGCGGCAGGCGGGGCCTCTCTGCTGCCTGGGGCGCTCGGCTCCCGCCCGGCTTTCTCCGGAGCAGGAGGAGCCGGCCTGGCTACACAGGCAGGGGCACACGGCCTGGGCGGAGAGCGGCCGGGGAACGCGACTGGCCACGCAGGGCTGCCGCCACCAGCGTGGCCGTCGGCGGGAGCCAGACAACGGCCCGGTCTCTTTCTCTACCTGGGCTGGACATAACCTGGCCGTCCCTGGCGGGTTGGCTGTCAGTCCTCAAGTTCAAAGGCGACCGAAACCATCGAGGGCACGAAGCTTAAGGGGAACCGGCCGGGCGGACGAAGCCCAGGGCCCCCTCGTTCGGGCCAGCGCACCAGCGTCAGCCTTCTCGTGCAGGAGGTGACCCCAGAAGCCACGGATGTGTGGCAGCCTCTCCGACACGGTGATTTTGAGGAGGGAGGACAGTGACTGCCGTGGCGGGAGGCTGAGCACGACGGATTCGGAGAGGTGGGCTATTCCCAGGCAGTGAAGAACCGCCCAGTCTTTTGTGCTGAGCTCAGCAGGTCTGTTACACACACCCCGAGAAGTCTGTCTGCCTGTCTGCCTGTCTGTCTGCGTTAACATGGCTGATTTTCCCAGGAGTGAAATGACTGTGTCAGTCAAAGGGGCAGGGCTTGGTTTGCAGTGGAACATTGCAGGAGCTGCTTGGGGTTCAGAAGCTCACCCCCGACTTTACCATCCCCAGCTCCCGGGCTCCAGGACGTGGCACGGTCCGGCCTCGCCGGCAGTCGCTACACGCACCGTGGTTCTGGATCCATGGGCAGCGCCTGAACATCTGACTGTATTCTCTACAGTTGGAGATGGACTTAGGCATTTACAGTCGGGGATCCGTTTTATGGTGACTCGCCTTTCTTTTGCCTCTAATACATTCTGCAATGTGCTTCTTACATCTATGCACACACCTAGGTTTCTGGAGAGGTAGGTGAGTGCCCATCTGTCCTGAAGGAGACATCATGGTATTTCTGATAAACAATGGGAATGGGGTTTAGCCAGGACTGAGTTGATGCCCTCAGTGAAACATTTCATGTGGTACGGGATCTTACAAGTATGTCCTTATACATATTTAAAACGATTTTTAAATATTTCCTCAAGGTTTTATGCCTTGGAACACACAAAACTCATGTCTGCATGTGCTTGGTGGGTGTGTGTCTGAGGACGCAACTCAGGAGTGTGGCAGAAACTGCTGGCCACGTCCCCAAAGTCTACAGTGCCCCCTTTGAATCAGGAATGGAAAGAGCCCACCTGCACTTCCCAGCCTTGCCAGCAAACTGGGAGGCTGGAAAAGAGACACACCAACCTTGCACGGCAGGAGACGTGTTTGGGGGCTCGGCATACACTCATTCTACACTGTGCCTCTTTCTCTTCCCTGCGGACAGGAGTTTGAGGCGACAGCTGGTGCTTCAGCAGCTACTGACGACCCTGAGGCAACTTTAAGAATGACCGCCTCCCTACTCAAAAAGGCCAAACAGGAAGCCAGGAGGACCCACAGATCCTCCTGCAAACAGAGCTACCAGCCCAGCCTTAACCTCAAGCTACAGTTCTGATCTCACACCAGCCCAAGGAACAGATGGGCTCCCCGTTCTCACCAAGCTTCTAAGGGATCCGTGTGACAACACGAAGTTTCTGCTACTGAGAATGAATAAATAATCTCAGCAACAATGTCAGGGAATCCTGCCTTAGGGGTCGGTTTCGCAGACATGTCTGAAAGCCCCTCGCCCAAGCTTGAGAACAGGCAAGGCAGCCCCCGAGGGTGTGGTCCGAGACCCTGCCGCTGAGGGGCTGGACCGCCTGGGAAGCCAGGACGCACGGACATTCACACTGTGGGGTGGAGTGTGGACCAGCGGGCCCCGGGATGAGACGGTGGGTGCTGGGCTGTGTCAGAGAAAAGTACAAAATGAACCCGGACCGGCAAGACGCGCTCAAATAAGGACACGGCCGAAGAAAGACGCACTGGCCCAGCGCGGCCGAAACAGACCGATTCATGCAGGATTTCATGCATTCACGCTGTAAGGGGAGGAGGAGGGTGGGCGGCGGGCAGGGTGGGAAGCAGGAGGGAGGCAAAGTGGCCTTCTTGGAGCGGGAGGCCACCTGAGCAGTACAGAAGGAAGGACGTGCCCAAGCAGACAGCGGCCGCGCCCCGTGTGACCCCCGGGGCGCGCCGCTGACCGAGCCCGGCGCTCACCTCTGAGTAGGCCAGGGTGATGTGCTCGTATATGCCCTGGTGGTGGTGGATGGCCTCCTCCAGGTCCTGCAGCTCCGAGGGCAGGTCCACCTCGCCGCACGCCTTGCACCACGAGTCCACGTTGCTCATGTACTTGGGAGGTTAGAAAAAAAGAGAGTTTCTATTCATGGCGATGTACAGTGAGAGAGAGATGTTTTAACGACGTGGCTTTCGAATTAGGGTGACTGAGAGAGTCTAAGCACAGCTGGCTCTCCCTCTCAAACGTACTGAGGTCAGCTCTCAGGCCCGGGTGCCGGGACTTGGCCCCGGCGAGGTTCCGGCAGGAGGGCGCCGGGCGCTGCATTCGCAGTGATGGCGGCAGGCAGCTCCCGGGCCACGCCCGGGACACACCTGCCCTGGTTACCTGTTCCGGGCGTCCTGCGAGCGTCCCCAGACCAGGGTGCTCCACGTGCCCTGCACGGCTGCCCGGCCCCGGCCCTGGCCTCAGCACCGCGCACCTCACTGATGCGTTCAGTGTCCCTGGGACGCCCTGAGCGCTCAGCCCACCTCTAACTTCCAAAAAGCAAATACACACAGCAATTAAAAGACGTGCGGAGGCTGCAAAACTCCCGGGGTGCCCACGGAGCCCAGGCAAGGCTGAGGGTGGGGAGGCCTCGGGGCTGTGGCCCAGGCAGCGGGAGAACCACCTGAGTCCCCGCTGATGACTGCTGTCCCAGTCTCGCCTGGGTCTTCTCCACCGCCACCCGCAAGAACACCCCAGGTTTCATGGATGCTGAGGAACGTGGTGCAGCTAGAGAACGTGAATTCAGCGCAGCCATGAGAGGCCCGCGCGTCCCGGAGGGCATGAGGGCACGCGAAGGGGTAAGCGCCCCGCCAGCCGGGAAGCGTGCGTGATGCTCTCGAAGAGTCTGAGAATCACTTTCCAGGTACTCACATTTAAGAAAATCACCCAGGTAATAATTAGTCAAAAGACCCTGCTACCATTACTGCAGCGGCTGCTGAAGCCACTGCAGATGGCGCCCCCTGCCGCCTGCGGTCAAGCCCACTCTGATGGCGGCAAGCACAGGGACAGACACCCTGACACCGGCCGGCGACAGGCGTCACCAGGCCCGACGCCTCTGCCCGCGCCGGCTCTGTGCGCGTGAGCACGAGGGCAGGCTCCCGAGCCTCGCGGGAAGCGTGTTCCATAGACGTCGGCCAGCCGGGCTGCACGAGGCTCCCGTGACACAAGCTATGCGACGGCTATCGTCTGACAGATTCCGGGTAGCTCGGGAAAAGCTCTGAAAGATCAGACTTTCCATGCTAACTTGTGTTATGACCTCCCTTTTTTGTATAATCGTAATATCAAAATATTCTGAGCAACTTTCAGCCTACAATTGGATTGCCTCAGCTGCATAAGGCCTGCCTGCCCTGACAAGCAAGCACTGCACCAGGGTGAGAAATTCCTCTGAAGTCAAAAGTGACTTAACAACTGGCTGATTAATAAAAACAAAAGGGCTGTTTCTGCAAAGTCTCTCACTGCTGGACTGAGGAAAACCCAAATCTTATTCTGCTATCTCACCTAGCCTCCTATTCAGCTTCTACAGAATTACTCAAACTTCCTACTGTTTTGGCTTTAGATATGGAAATTCATCCAGGTTGCCTGTTTTAGAGCTAGTCAAGTTTTTTTTACCTGCTACACTTCAAAGCAATCCACAAAAGTCTTTCTGGCTAGTCTTTCAGGATTCCACTATCTAGTCTTTAGATAAGGAAATTCACCTACTCTCCTATTCAGAGCAAATTATGCTTTCTACTGCCTAGACCTCAAGGAAACTTACTTAAAACCTTTTAACAAGTTTCTTCAAAGTAGAAAAACTTACTTGAAACCTTTTAGCAAGTTTCTTGATTAGCAAGAAATTTCCTCTTCCTGAGACCCCAGACCATTCAGAAAAAAGGTGATTGTGATCTTAACCCCTTTCGTATGCTAATGCCATCCCCCTGTCTGCTGGAAATGTATAAAATAAACCTCTGTGAAGGCAGAGCAGGAAGATTTGCACCCAACTCCGACTCCCGAGTCTTCCTCACTCCCACTCCTCTCCCCCTCTTGGAATCTCCGCACGCCGACGCCTTCCCATGTTAGGGTCCTGCCTGTGTTGCCTCCAGACACCTCAAAAGTTGGAGCTGGTCTCCGACACTCCCGGGGCTTGCCCTCGAGCGCATCAATCAGCCTCCATCGTCGTGGCTAACGGCAATTATTAAATTACTGTAAATGCTTCTCCAGCGTGAACCGACTGAGGCTAGCCATCATCATTAATAAGTCAGCCCCTCGGGCGAGGCTGCACCTTCAACACGACGAAGAGAACCACGACGCCCGCGCCGGTGCATCAGAGAGGCCGTGTAAGCACCTGCACTGCACTTCTGAAGCAACCAGGAAGTGTTTGGAGGAAAATGGTAGGGAGAGGCCTGCCCGAGACGCTCATTTCTAGGCCCCCGTCGGGCGTTCAGTGTGTGCTCAGGGGCGACACCCCGGCCCACGGGCCGAGGCCGACCGCCTGTGCCCCCTCAGGCCCCTGTCCTCCCTCACCCGGCTCACAGCGCTCCGGCCGCCCCTTGCTGCTCTTGTGGAACAGTCACCGACTGTCCCTTTCTATCACGCGAGTTCGGGGGCCTTCTGGGGGCCCACTACGGACTTCCACACCCAGTACACCTGCTGTGTTACCCTTGCAGGTGACACCCTGGCGCCCAGCCACGCCCAGGAGCGCCCAGGGCACAGAGGCCTGTAGGCAGAGCTGTTCCTGCAGGGGGTCCTGCTCCAGGGGGTACGCAGATGCCCCCAAGGATCTGGCTGCACAGAGGGAGGCCCCTGGAGGAGAGGTCGACCCCCGGGCACTGACCTTCTCGGCCTTCTGATGGAAAATGGATGACATGTCCAGCAAGGTGCTGCGCTCGTCCAGGGCGGCGGCAAAGCCCTTCCACTCCTGCTCCAGCTGGTTGGCGATCTGCTTGATCTGCTGCGAGGCGTAGTGGCCGGACTCCACCAGGCGACTGGCCACCGACATGATGCGGTTGATGTTCACGTACACGTTCTGCGGAGGCCGGGAGAGGGTCAGAGGCCGGCGGGGATCTTCCCGGCAGGGCCGCCGGCGTGCAACTCCCATGCTGGCGGCCCCACGGCCCCTGACCTCTAAGAATTGTTTCGGAAGCCCGCAGCGGTCCCTCACGATGGGGCACGGTGCCCTCACTGGCCCTGGGCTGCCACACCGGGCAGAGGGCGGTGCTAGCCCAGACGGGCAGCCGGAGCCAGAGGCCACGGAGCGTGCGCTGTCGCCAGGGCCTGGGTGAGAACCGGCTCCCCGCCCTGCGCGGGCCCGGCCTGGGGCTGCCCACAGATCAGTCAGTGGACCCACTTTCTCCAAAGCCCAGACGCTGAAATCGAGCCTCTCGCGCCCTGAAACGCCCATCTTCCGGTCCAGGGGCTCACGCAAAGCCGGGGAGTGGAAGATGTGCCTCCATCTCTAAAACACCATGGGCCCACGGTCACCTGGCTTGGAAATGAGACAGCGCGTGGAAAACATCTCTGCCACAATGCTGGTGGCGTTTTCCTTAACACGCTTCCCCTGGGGACTGTCGCCGTTGCCAATCGATACTTAGTGTTGTCACTGTCTTTGTCAAAATGTGTCTGACACACTGACGTTCACACAGGAGAGGGCGGAAGGCTCACAGGCCCTGCGTACATGCCAGGTGGGGCGCGCAGGCGGTGAGGGCTGGTGGATTCAGGGTGGCGTGGGCGGCCAGTCCCGGGTGCCCAGAGACTGCTGCCCCTGCAGCCTTGCTGGGGATCCTGCAGGCTCCTCGGAGACACAGCCAGGACTCGCACCGACGGCCGCGCTGCACCGGCCACGGTCTGTGGGTCTGTGGGTCTGTGTGATTGCCTGGGGGGTCAGCAGCCACCGCCCATCGGGCCCACGGGGCGGAGCCGGACCCCGCGCCCACGCCCTCTCCAAGCCCGCCGCCTCGCCGCCCCTTACCATGCAGTTCATGGCAAAGTGGCTGTGCTGTGTCTGCAGCTCCATGGCGTGCGGGTGGCTGGTCCCGATCTCGGTGTAGCTGTTCAGAAACAGGCCCTTGTTGTGTGTGATCCAGTCAAACATCTACCGGGACAAGGAAGAGAGACGACTCGAATCACTCCCGGGAGGGAAGGAGCTGCTGGGCCTGGGGGCCTCGAGGCCCGGGAGGCGTCTGGGCCCGGGCGGCTGGACTTCCCAGCGGCCAGCAGCTCAGTGTGCGGGGTCTACAGGAGACTGGCCTCTGTCCCTCTGGCACGGCGGGTGGGCAGAGAGGAGCATCTGTGTTCCCTCGCCTCCTGCCTGGCAGCCCCCCTCCTGTGATTCCGAACTGACCACACTGCTCTGAGAGCAGCCCTGGGCAACCTGAGAGCGGAGGTCTCTGCACGAGACCTGCAGGGTGCTGCAGCAGCGGCCGTGAGGCTCTTGGCGCAAAAGCATATTTAAAAACCTGTGCAGATGCCATCAGTCAAATGTATAGTTAAAGAACTTAGGGGAGAAATTGAATGGCATCCCCCCCGAGGTTCAACACAGATGCACCTGTCCGTGAAGCTGTTCCCAGGAAACACTGAAGGAGGAAGGACAGCGGTCAGTCAGCACGGCACCCACGGCTTGCGCCAGAACCCCAGAGGCTGCCGGCAGCGCTGGTGGCCAGGGGAGGCCGGGGAGCCGGGCCGGCATCCTTCGAGGCGCCCTGCACCAGGGCACGATGTGGGCGCAACACCGCACCGTCAGAGCACTGGAGAGGCCCTCTCAAGCCCTCTATTTCTACCCAGGAAATAAACCTAATGACCTTGAAATAAGGGTGAGGAGTCCAACCCCGGGCAGGGCTGGGCCCCTTCCCACAGGTCAGTCTGCTTTTCACGAGAGCCCGTCAACCCACAAGAATTCCCTTTGCCCAGCACGAGAACAAAGCACGAGCCCCTCGGTAACCACAGGCTGTACCCCAGAAGCCACTGGGCACGTCACAGCGGACGCCGTGGGCAGCCACAGCTCTGTGCGGCGTCCCGGCCCCGAATCTGCCTCGCGGAAGAGCAGCGGCTGGCCACGCGCAGCATGGCTACCGCCAGTGGCACAGGCCGGCCAAACGCTCGGCCCTCTAACGGCTAGTATCGCCCTCGGCCGCCCTGCAGGCGCCACCCTATCTTTCCCCGCCCTGCCCCTGGCGGTATCTCAGGGGCTCCCTCAGCTCGGGCACCAAACCCGCGGGCGCCGCCCGGCGCCTGGCGAGCAGGTGGGGGCACTTGCTGAGGCAACGTCGTGCCGTGCGGCGAGCCCAGCGGGTAAAACGGGGGTCGCTGCTGGTGTCTAAGTCACATGGGTGAGGGGGGAGGAGCGGGGGCAGGGGGGCCCCACCCCTCCAGGCCCTCTGCCCCACGCGGCAGCCCTGGCGGCCAGGCCCCCGGGCCCCGAGGCCGCCCCCTTTACCTTCTCAGCGTCCTGCTCAAACAGCCGCAGCTGGAAGCACTGGTCCAGCTTGAGCTTCCTCACGTGCCACATCTGGTGCAGGTGCTGCCGCGTGGAGTGCAGCCTGTCCAGCACGGCGGACACCTTGGGCAGGAGGGTCTGCAGGTCCGCGTTGCCCGAGCCCGAGTTCTTCTTGGGGAAGCTGTCGCTGCTCTGGATCCTCTGGAGCAGCTTCTGCCCCTCCAGATCCACGTCCTCGATGGGGGCCTTGATCACCTTCTTCTTGAGCTGGGAATGCTCCTCCATCATGTTGCGGGCCCCCTCCAAGTCCTGCGGCAGCTCCTTCTTGGCCAGGATGTCCTGCAGCTCTTCCAGCCGACACAGCATGTGGGTGGCGTTGCTGATGTAGTCCTCAAAGGCCACCCTGATCTCGATCCACTCCTCGTGGTTGTATTCGAGGCAGCCGTCGAACTCGGGGGTGAGCTGGGAAGGATCGACCACTTTGGTGAGGCCTTCTAAGGAGACCATGTTCGTCTGAAGGGGAAGAAAAATCACGTGTGAGAGGACGCAGCCTTTCCACACGGTCTCACCATCATGCAACTTGCAATGCTTCGTCATAGACATTCACACTCGGAGCACGGCGTCCATTTGCAGGAAACACGACCTACCTGGGCCTGGTCTCGTACGAAACAGGAGGAGAGCAGCACTGCGTCTCGTCAGTGAAGGCAAGCGCACTGGAGACGCGCCCGTCAGCTGGCGGGCGGGCTGCGAGGCGTCGCCACTCGCGGGCGCGCCCGAAATGGAGCTTTCTCTGCAAAGGTGCGGAAGCGAACCCGCTCCGTGGGGTCGCGGCCGAGAAGCACTTGAACTCGCAAGCACGGGAGAGGGAATGCAGACGTGCTGCGTGCGGGTGTGAGGGTGCGTGTGCGTGTGGGCGCGGCTGTGAGTGTGCGTGTGACTGTGTGCGTGTGTGGGCGCCTGTGTGGGCGTATGTGCATGGGTGTGTGTGTCCGCATGAGTGTGTGCGCGTGTAAGTGCCTGTGTGCGCATGTGTGCATGCTTACATGTATGTGAGTGTGTGTGCGCGCAGGTGCTGAGTGCTTGTGTGTGCAT